AGCCCCGGCCCCCCCCGGCGAGGCGCCCGCCTGAGATAAGGAGGCTGCGACGGCGGCTTCCTCCTGCTCCAAGACAAGCGGCTTCATGTTGGTGCCATTCTTCATCTGGTCACCTTCGTTGTCGTAGACTAAGGAGTCGTCCAGCATCAGCCTCCTGTTGCTATCGACCAAGTCCCGGCGGCCGCGTTTCCAGCGGCGAGCGAGGGGACGCTGAAAGCGAGCCTCTGGGCCAATCACGTAGATGACTTGAAGGTACCACTGGTGTCCAGCTTCCACCTTTAAGAAAGGGAAGACGTGCAACACAGGAGATTTTCACTACAGCTTTTAGATCAAGTGATTTTTGATTTTAAAGGTTGGGCTGGTCGCATTTTTTGTCCCATTTCTTGGCTCACGCAAATATCAACAGAAAGGCTCAGTGTGTTTCTATGAGCATCTGCAATAGTATTTAACACCAAGTGAGGTCTTCAGTCTTTTTGTCTATCTTTAGCAACTGCAATAATTAATTCAGGAACATTAATAATGTGTTTTTAAAGACCTTCTCTCCTGAGTGCTTTGGGGGGAAAAAAAAAACCAACAAAAAACTTAATCACCAGAATAAATTCCTCATCTCTGTTTTCTGTGCTGGGGTTTGCGTCTTAACTGGTTCCACTGTTAATTTGCGGTACGATCCTAGGAATGCCAAGAAGCCGCTGAAGCAAACAGAGGCTACTGGGTTACCAGAGCACCTCTCTGGGGAGGGACAAAATAGCCCAGAAATCAGGGTATAAAATTCTGCCCTTGATCGAGAGCTTCCTCTGTGTCCCTCCTGTTTCCGCCACAATCTGCTTGGCTCCTCCAAGTCTCGTACTCTCCAGCCTCTGTGCTCAGAGAGGAACCGCAGCCACAGGTCTCCTGCCCCTCTGATCGGGAAGGGCTGCAGGGAGCTCCGAGCTGCGTCTGCCTTCAGCAGACGGGACAGCCCCATTGATAGACTTCCACTGCTGAACAGAGACTCTGATCTCTCAGCTCGCATTTATGGCCAGGCAAATCAAGGAGAGGCCTGCCCCAGCACGATCTGCAAATGCAGATCATCACGTGTATGTGAGGCCACCTCGCTCCACAGAGACCATGTTGCGGGTGGACGTGGAGGCAGCGCGTCCTGCCTCGCCGTCAGAAAGCTTGGTTGAGGGTCGCTGTTAAACTGCAGACAGCTGCAAGACCTACCTTAGCATGAATCTGGTTTCTCTAGGCAACCAATATCACTTGGTACGTACCTTGTAGAGAGCATCCACCTTGAGGGTAAATCCGTCGACTCCGGGCATGCTGCTTACCGAATGAAACTCCGACAGTTCGGAAGCAAAGTGGGCATCGAAAGGCACATCATGGAAATACTTATCCGTCACTTCTGGTTGGTTTCGGTCCTGGAAACCAGAGAGGTGTTATGAAGAGGAGTGCGTGCTGTCCTCTTCCCACAGGGAAGCCAGAAGGCAGGTCACTACGTGACACCTGCGTACTGCTGCAGAAATCGAGTCCAGACACCCAGTCTCCACACCCACATGCGCGTACAGACATGTCTTTAAATGCGTGGGTTACTGCACAGGAAACATTTATGACCTCTATGATTTGTAGACACTTCACACTGTTTTCGTACTGATTGTGTCAATATTAGGTTTGTAGAGCTGACATCAGGTGCAGAGTTTAGCCAGCCTGCTCAAATATGCATGCCACACTAACTAATAC